TTATCCGCCGGTGCAACAAAGAACACATGTAATCTATCATCTATGTGACAATGCTTCAAATTGAATATGGCATATAATATTCCTATTACCATCTTTTCCCTACCTAGTATACCCAGCTCTTTCAACCCTTTCTAATAGAAGTGGGTCTTTAGGACTCACACCATTGCCACCTTCCTGTGGACATATGCTGACTTGTTAAAATTATTCTTAAACTATGATGCTCAGAACTGGAGGCCATACACTTGGTGGGAGCTGATGGAAGCAGAATAGAACAGTGCCATTATTTCCCATGATCTGAACTCTATACGTATGTCCTATGCAGCAGCTTAGGATTGTATTTTCTGTTTTGCAGCTGCCTCAAGTTGCACTTATGATCCACTAAAATTGCTAGCTCATTTTATATGCCTCATCACAGTCTATAGCCTCTGATTGTTTGAATAGGCAGAAAAGAGCATCAACCATCAAGTGAACATTCTTAAAAGTGGAAATTTATAGTTGTACCTCTTATAAAATTTACCACATTATTTAAAGTTTTCCATGGAGAAATCCATCATTATATCAAGAGAATACTGAAATACTGCATTCCATAATCTATATAAATGATCACTGTTCTCTCATTTTGCATGCATCATTCTGAAATTATTTATATTTTGCTTGATTCATGGGGTGGGGGCATGAATACTGAAGAATTGATTATTTGCCACTCAAAATCTTACTCAGCTCCTTCTCTGGCTTCTGATGTTTCAGCTGATATTGCCCCGTCACTTAAGCATACTTTCACTGCTATATGGAATAGGAACATAATTTTATAATGAAAAGAATAAGTTTATGAAGAACCCCAGCTTCTACACACTACACTTCTACACCCCAACATCCTGTGCTCCTACAGAATAGCATCGTATTACATAGCCCTGCTTATGTTTTCCCTTGCGGGTGCTGCTATTCAAAGATGAAATTCAAAAATATTATTACAAAGTTTAAACGTCCATACTTTGTGCCTAAACTGGTGTAACTGAAGCCATAAAAACATTGGTTTTAGTCCCTACATTCCTATGTACTGTGGCTGGCTATGAAACTGCATCTCAATGGGCACATGTTCCATACCCATGATATCTGGTGTAATAAAGGTAATCATGTGTTTCAGATGGAGGTAGTGGAAGCCGAAGGTTGGATTTGGTCCTCCCGTACCAGAAGCGTAGAAGCTCAGGCCCAGGGGATAAACTCAGCCCACCAGGGACTAAAGCCGGTCCTCCGGGATTCTCCGGAAAGCTCCATCCATTGGCTTTGATGCAAATTCACCTGTTGTCTGAGGGGAGAGGGGGGCACGTACCATGTTACTTCTTCCTACCGCATTCCCCTTCCCTTTGTCATGACTTGCCCTGCCTTCTGTACTGCTTCCCTTTGCTGCACTGTGGCCCCACTTCCCATTCCTGTCACTGCGTCACAACACTTCCCTTTTCCACTTCATAGCTCGCCACCCCTTTGGGGTTTACCTTTACCACATAGCCACACAGATGGAGGAAGTAGCTAGCATCGCTCTCCACAGAGGCTGCCAAAGCAAAATGCTCATCTCTGAGCATTTCTTCCTCGGAGCCAGCCATGGGAGAGATGCCCCAGGACGTATCTCGCACAATGCGTAGCTCTGAAGAAGGAAGGGTGCTTCCGGAGCCAGGCATTTTGACATGGACGGCCATTCAGGCCTCATGTTGGCCCTGTGTGGCTCTCCAGAGTGCCCAGCCAGCCACCCTCACTTGTGAAAGTGTCACAGCAAGAAAGTGTCTGGAAGGACTCTCCAGAATACGCAGTGGAGCAGGAGGAGGAGGTGGCTGGCTTCCTGGAGGGATTGGGGCCCACCATTGCCCACTCTGGGTCTTAGGAGAATCTTGGGAAGAGGAAAGAATGGCAGGAGAGCTGGGAAGCCACCATGTGAGTGGGGATCAGAGAAAGGAGTGAGACCAGGGCAGGGACGGCTGCTACCCGAGGTGAGGTCTTCACCTTTCTTCATGGGAGGCCAGCCACTACCCTGATCCTACTCCTTTCTCCAACCTCCAATAGTTTCTGGTTTCCCAGCTTTTGGGCAGTTCTCCACACTCAAGCCCTCTCCTAAGGCTCCTACTAGCAGAAAGCTTGCTTGCTTGCTTATTTATTTATTTATTTAAAGCTTTTCTATCCCATCCTATTACAAAAAGTCTCAGCACATTACCCAATAGCATTAATTACTGCTAATATAGTTTATGTAGTCCTTAACACTACATAATGCATGATGCAGTGTAACTGTGAATGCAGCAGGTATGCAAGAGTTAGACATACTGTGTAGCAAAGGAACAGACCAGACAAAAGCAACATTGGCAGAGTCTCACTTGCCATTTATTGTCGGAGGTTTGCGCGAAGGGACAAAGGAGTACAACCTGGTCAGATTCGTATGGCAGAGGTGAGATCCAACATATGGCATGTGGAGCAGCTGCTCAAGGCATCTGGACACAGGGGACAGCCTTCGAAGTCACTGGCCTAACCTCTGTGCATCTGTCATGGCCCCTGCAGCTCCCCGATCCTGCCCCCTTCATGGCACAAAATAGGATATTGCCACTCTCCCACTGGTAAAAACAGCTTACATCCTATTCAGAAATCCAGCTGTTTGGAGTACTAGTGAAGTAAATGAGTCACACCAGAGCTTGTCTTCCTTTCACTTAACTTCCTCCTCTTAATCATAACCTGGCGTCCACCCTCCAAAAGGCTATAACCAATTCGTTCCTTGGAGGACCTCAGCAACACATAAAATAAAATATTCCTTTGTGCAGGGGCTACAGTGTGTGAGAAGTTGGATGCACTGAAGAAGCTGCTGTCTGTTGTTGGGAGTGGTGATAGGCATCATCCCACAGTTGTGTAGTGAAACCAGGGCTCTCCGGGATCCAGCATCGACTTTTTCTATTAGCCGGGATGCCCACATCAACTGCTACCCACCCCTTGCTCACTCTGAGTTTAGCTGCAATCTTCACAGTGGGCAGCTGCTGGTGGTGGGGAGAGAAGTGAATTTACCCAACAACAATGTGCTGATCACCACTGTGATGTAAAGTATTTTCTAGTGGCTTTGTCTTGAAAGGCCAATTAAGGCTCATTTGCATTTGCTTTACAAAAGATCATTCCTAGAAGAGTTGAAAATCATTAGAACCTGTTGATATGGCTCCACTGCTGGACTTTCCTTGAGGGCACAGCTATGGGGACTGTCATGAGGGGTGCCTACATTTCAAAATTCACCACTATTCCACTTCTCATTCATGATTTGGATATACCTGTTTATTATAGCCTTTCCTTCCCACCCTGTTGCACAGAATGGAAGTGGGATACTTGGAGAAGTGGCACTGAAGCACCTGCATCCAGGGGGTCTCAGTCATATGTAGGGCCCAGGTAGCTATTTACAAGGGGAGGAAACATGCAGCAAGAAAACATGCGAGTGTGACAAGATGCTGCTGCTGAACACCAGTGTACAGTGGGGAAGGGGAAGGGCGAATCAAGGGTTGCAGGGTTTAAAACTAAAAAAGAACACTCAGGGATAACATCCTCCTTTTTCTTCAACCTGTTTGTCAGGAAACGGCGCAAAGCGGGGTGGAGCTTTGGTATCTAGGGCTATATTAAATATTTACACCAATCTCCAAAAGGGCTTCTCAGGCTGGACTGGGCTGAACAAATAACGAGCCAGGGCCCCCCTCCTGCAAAGCACTGTCAACATCTCCCAGTTCCGTGATCCTAGAATGCACTGAAACCTGATGGTCAGCGTGGAAGGAAGGACCTACAGGGCTCAGCAAGAGCCTTGCAGCCCCACCATTCAGCAGAGTCCAGCGGTCACCTCAGACAGATGGTGGAAGGCGACAGCAAGATGTTGGAGGTGGGATCTGCATGCCAAGCACCTTGCTCTGCACCTCCTAAGACAGCCTCCAGGTGCAGTAGAGGATGCTGTCCCATGACCAGGACTGAAAACAGATGCATTTGCCAGGCTAGTCTAGCTGCCATGGGTTCCTCGCAAGAGGAAAAAATGGGCTCTAATTGCCATGTAATAACAGTAGTTGGCTTTTGTACATGGAATGGCAGGAGATACCGTCTTGTCCTTTGCCTCAGGGAGCAAATACCTTGAGCTGAGCCAGCCCTGTGTCCATGCTAGTATCCTACAGGAAGAGCTGATATAGCATATACACACACATCTACGCACCATTCCTCTCTAACCCACAGGCTCCACCTGCCTTTCCGATGCCCTGAAAAGTTTTCGAGCACAGGGCAAGTTCTTCGGTGTGCTCAGGTGCAGAAGCCACCCTGAACCCGTGCTATAGGTATAAGAGAGGGTGCAGGTACCTGCAGGTAGCACCACCCACATAGCACCATGGACATGGGATGCTGCAGGCAGGTGGCATGTCTCAGGTGCCTGGAGGCTGCAGCATGCAGGGCAGCAGGCAAGGACGGGAGCTGGGAGGGCATGCCAGCTGCAGGCCAGGGAGGAAACAGTGGTGCTCAGGAAAGGAGACTGGAACAGGCTCCCAGACACACCACTCCTCTCAGCCTGCCCCGTCGCAAGGTCACCATACTGGGGCGACCTTTCCTTGTTAGCCATTGGACCATTAGCAAATGGGGTGTAGTCAATCTGGATGAGGCGCCAACAGCTCAGAAGGACAAAGCTGAGACAGTGACACCTCTGGGCATTTGGGGGGAGGGTCTCCAGTGTCCCCAGGAGCCCACAGGAAGCGTCAGTGACCCGGGGTATCAAGGCAGCCACAGAGAGTGGTCTCTCTTCTTTGGGGGCAAGGTCCACTTGGGCGGAGGTCAAGCATCCCCTAAGAATGGCTTTGCCCTCGCCGCCGTTGTTGCAAACCCCAGGGGTGTCGCAACACTGCCCACGGGCATTCCAACCCCCCCGGAGGAGCTCAGAAGCGGGTGCTCTGGTAACGTAGCCTGCGGATCTCGGAGACACCGTCATCCCGGCAGTACAGGTCCCTGCCGGGACTCTGTGCCAGTCACCGGCCCCCGGCTCCCCCACCGCCTCCCCCAGCACTGCTGCTGGTGCTGCTGGAGCTGCCTGAGCTGGAACTGCTGCACCGATCCTCATAGATGGAGATCTCAATCTGCAGGAAGGAGGTTAAAGATACAGGGAACACAAGAAGGGTAACACTGCCCCTCTCTCCAGTCCTTTTGCAGGGGCTCCTTCTTCAATGTACCCACCCCAGTACACCCCTTGCTGCTCAGTGGTTCAAGTACTCAGCTTGTGCATGTCTCGCGAGAGTTTCTATACTGTTTCCACATCTCCTTTATGATCCGGTTGTGTATGGCTTTTTGAAGGTGGGATGCATTTTGCAGGTGAGTTAGGAAAGCAGCAAGTAGTGGCAGCAGCTCCAGAGGCAGAATACTTTGGAGGCACTGGTGGTGCGGAGACACCAATGCATAAAGTCCTCAGCCCAGTCTGAGAAGTGAATGTTGCTGCCTCACCAGGTTCTCAGCCATGGCCATGGGGAAGACCCCTCACCCCAACAGGCAGCCATGTTCATGCATAGCAGCCAGATGTTTTCAGCCTCTGGAAGGGTGGGGCTCCTCATCTGGGCTGATGTCCAACTGCTGTGGCTCTTTAGTAGCAAAGGAGGGTAACCCTTTTATCCCATTAGCCCAGAGCACAGCAGCAGGGCAGCAGGACCAGCGGACTGGAAAGAGGACCCTGGAGAATCTCTGCCACCTCTTTTCAGGGCAGCAGAGTCAGGAGCTCCATGAAATTATTGTCTGATAGCATCAGCAGCTTCTGTGATACTACGAACTGCCTTGAAAATAACTGTGGTTCTTGCTGTATTTTACAAATACTGCAAAATAAACAACAACTTCACCACGATTCCACAGTTCCTTCCTTCTTCCCACCCTCTCCCCCCTCTCCGTCTGAATGGCAAATAGGGAATGCACAATCTTAGGCAGGATGCAACGAGCGACCTGGGTGGGTGCAATAGTGAGGGGCTGTCCCATGAAAAAGTGAGCTTCATGGGGCCGTGGCTGCCTCTTTCTCACCTTTGCAGCAAATCCAGAAGGATACAACCCGCATGCCCCGTTCCACCGGGTCTGTTAGCAATAGCCCTCGTGGAGCATAGATTTTCTCATTCTGCTCCTGGATGTACTTGGAGATCTTCTTCAGGACCTGGGGAGGTAATGAGACACAAACATGCTGCAATTACTTGCCAAACGTCATGTGACCCCAGGAGAAGGAGTGATACAAAAGGGGGGGAAGATAGAATCATAGAATAGTAGAGTTGGAAGGGGCCATGAAGGCCATCGAGTCCAACCCCCTGCTGTTTGTTTGTTTGTTTATTTATTTACTGAAAGCTTTTCTAACCCGTCCACTACAAACATCTTGGGACAGCTTACAAAAAATGAGCAGAATGAAACAAACACCACAGCAGTTGCAGGACGCCACGTTACACCACACCATCCCACTCAGATGGCTGTCCAGTGTCTTTTGGAATGCCTCTAGTGTGGGAGAGCCCACCACCTCTCCAGGCAGCTGGCTCCACTGTTGCATTGCTCTGACAGTGAAAAAGCTCTTCCTGATGTCCAGCTTGAATCTGGGTTGTTGCAACTTGAATTGATTATTCCATGTCCTACACTCTGGCATTAGCAAGAAGAGATCAGGACCTTCCTCTCTGTGACAGCCTTTGAGGTACTTCTAGAGGGATATCATGTTTTAGATGCACTTGAGTACTCCAGGGTTCGCCCACCTTCAGTATTTCATGAAACCTGAAAGAATGCATGCCTTCAATAATATGAGAGTGCTGACTGAGGAAACCACATTCCCTATTTTGGGCCAGCACTATCTGACTGATAACCAGCCAGGTCTTGAATGGTTTCCTTATTATTCCTCAGTTCCTGCACTGAGCATGGTACCTCTAATATTTACCTTAGGGCAGGGTTGTAGAACTGCAGGCCAAATTCAGCCTTCCAGCATCACCAGTCTGGCTCTTCAACGTTCCATGCCTCCGCCCCCCGGTCACACCTCCTTTCCCCCAACTGGTAGCTCCCTGGATTTTGTACACTGTATTCCCCCTCTCTCCACTAACAAGTTGAAATGCCTATCCTAAAGTTTAGCCACACTTGGAGGACTTCTGCTCTGAAAGAAAGCCTAGAAATAATTTAAATATATAAGTTAAATAAATATTTACTAGCAGTCAGAGGGTAGGAAAAGCTTCTTCTGCTCACATTTAAATCTAGATCCAACCCAATGTGTGAAATGTCTTTGATATGCTGAGATCAGACAACATGAATGTGTTGACTGAATCCAGGCATGATTATAAACCATGATCCAACAACAATCCATGGATTCCTTTCATGGGTTGTTTGTGGTTAACAACCTGTGGCTTATTAGCTAGCTTCAGCCAACATGCTAACCCATATTTTGGGAATAATCAAGAGCTCAAAAACAACCTACACTTAACTCATACTCAACCCATGAGCACCAAATACCATGAAGCTATCATGAAAGGAATCAGAAGGGAAAGCAAAAGGAATGGATAAAGATCCATATGGCCATCACAGAGAGAGAACTGCTAACTGTTGTTTAGCATGGCAGTTCTGTTCTTCCCTGCCCTATCAGTCTGCTAGAGACAATCATTTCTGGGACAGTTGAAAGGGGTGTGAGGAAGGTCTTGCTTCCAATGGCATACACAAGGAGCATTCCCTTTATCCCAGTGTTATCCAAGGTCAAATTAGTTTTGCGGATTTGGAAAACAATACAGACTTTCACCAAACCAGTGCGAAGTTGGGATGAATGTGCAGGCCATGAATATTAATCCTGGTTTCAAAGCACCTCAGCTTGGGCGGCAGGGGGATTATGCCTCTAGCCTATGTACCAATAGCATCTCCCGTTCGGCAGAAGCAGCAGGCTAACAAAATCAAGCTTTGGAACAGAACAGAATTCTCAAGTTACCACCTGTTTGGCTACGAGTGAAATCTGTCGCCAATTTATTTATTCTTCTGTAACACAAGTAAGATGCTGTACAGATGCTGTGAAAAGAATTCTGATCTCCTAACCAAAGCAGAGAATTCTGTCCAAGGGCTGTTGCTTGCCATTATGCACACAAGATTCGTTTTAGCATCAGGTAAACCTTGTAAGGCAGGGGTGCTTACTTGTTCATTTTTATAGGTTCCCTCTCACCAAAAGCAGGTTAACTTTCATTATCAAGCTGACACTGTTGCAGCGACGGTGGCAAAAAAATGGAGTGCTTTTCCACTATCATTTCAAATTTGAGGCACCATCTAACAAAGTTTTTCTGAGTGGCTCATGGCCTGCTGCAATTTGAGCCAGTGAGAGAAACTATGCAACTCTTAGTGACAAGGATGTGCAGCATTTTGATGATAAAGTTGCTCAGATCTTTAATGAATTGGGCACCACAATTAATATAATTTCATTAGTAGAGCTGCCTAGAGCATGGTGGTCCAGCTTTATGGAATACATTTGACTTATTGAAGTTCAAGAATGTAGTCAAAGTCCTTGGCCAAGTCTGGCTGACTGCCTGTTTGCTTGATTTTGTGCTTCATGGCTTATTCCATGTAATAGGGAGGGCTTATCAGACTGAATCCAGGAGGCTGTAAATTCCTCCCTGACAGAGTGAGTGAAGCTGACCTCTTTACAGGAGCTAGTTAGACCACTCTTGGAAAAGCCCATGTGCCCCCCACCTCCACCAGATGATGGTAACAACTATAGGCCAGGAACCTTTTTCTTCCTTGGCATGGTGCTTGATTGAATGTTAACTTCAGGAACTCTTAAATGAAATGGATTATCTAGACTGAACTTCAGGCCTGGATTTAGAATGGAAGCTACCTTGGCCCACCATATTAGTCAACCTCTGTCAGGATAGAGATAGGGGCTGTGTGAGCCTGTTGATTCTCTCGGGTCTCTCAGTGGCTTTTGGTTTCATCATACATGACGATCATGAACAATTGCCCCGAGGCCAACCCTGGCTGCACCACTGCCTACCATTCCTGTTTGCCCCTGTAGTGAAATCGCACGTGCCTCCATGTGATTCCCGCATGGGGTAAAAAAACCCAGCTGGATTTAGATCAAAGAAACAGCCTAACAGAAATGGTTAAAAATGCTCTTTCCCCAGGAAGTAGCCCCAATCTATTCCACTCAAAAACATCAAGCTGTTTTGAAGGAAAAAACAGAGGAAATTTTGGCTGAGCTAATTATGAGTGTCCCATGCCTGGCCTAGTTTCTCCCTTACTGCACCATAGTACCTACTTTCTTTCCTTCAATAATTATCCAGTCTTACAGACAGTTGCTCTTATATTGGTTCATAGATGCTGCATATTGGGCTATCCATGCTACAAAAACATCCCTCTCAGTGACAGTTCTCCTTGCTGCAGTGTGCCTTCCAAACCTTCTCATAGTGGGTCTCCATGCAAAGGAAGATGAAGTAGGCTGTGGCACAAGCGAGGCATCCCTCCAGGTAGGAGCTGCCCCCAATTTTCTCAGCCTCAGCATAGAAGTTGTTGAGGGTCTTCACCGTTTCCTCAAAAAGTTGCCGCTCAATCTGGGGAAGAAAGTGAAAAGAAACAGCGGAGAATAAGAGTTCTGTACAACGAAAGCAATAGGCTGTGAAATCACAATCATTTGAAAGTGTGCATGCATGTGAACGATAGGAATGGTTTGTTTGCTATATATTTTACATGGAACTAAAACCTCCAACAATTTTGTAGAAATACTAAAAGGAGACAAAATCTATAAGAACCTTGTCTGTGAAACATAGGCTTGCCGTATGAAGATCAGCGTTCCCAGTGCCGCCCTCTAGACGTTTGGAACTGCATCTCCCATCATCCCTATAATGCCCTGGCATGACATAAAGACTTCTCATATGCTATGCCAGACAGAGTGCGTCCCATGAGAACACTGAGGGATAGGTACCATACCCGACTGTCTAGCTCAGGAGGGAATTTGGTTTGGAACTGGCAGATGGTCCCATCACTGTAGTCCCGTTGGACAAAGACCTTGGTAGCCAATGAAGCACTGCGTCGTAGTTCTTGGAGATTATGGACCTGCAGCAAAAGAGAGGAGCAAGAGCTTGCAATAGGTAATTCACCCGCAAACAGGAAGTTCACACCGAGTCTGAGCACTTGCTGATCAAAGAACACACATTTATCTCTGTGCATAGATTGTTATGCACTTCACGGTGACCTCCAGTTCTATTTTTCACTGAGGCAATCCCAATTCTCTCCTAAACACAACAATTTCATCAAGTGACCAATGTCTTCTGCTAGGCAATTGCTTCACTGACATGCCTTTTTCCTAAGGGAAAAAACACAGAGGGTCAAATGGACATGTCTAAGGAAGGCACTCTGCTAAACAGTACAGAAAGAGACTGCTTCCACCATGCAGAGTAGAATGGTCACCTCACTCAAAGCATCTTAACCAATCAATCCATACATCTACAATAATTTATCACCCATTAATCGATGATGTAAGGTTCTCTTTAGATATTCTCAAAATCATATGAGAGTTGCTTCTCTGCAGAAGATGTTTAAATGATCTGACTACATGAGTTAAAGATGCTAAACCAGAAGATGCTAAACCAGTGGGAAACATTCACATGATCAGATCCGTCCAAGTGTTGGATCATTCAGTGTTGTCGCAGCTGTGCCATATATTAGCTGCTTACATGCAAGTGAAAGAATCTCTAAAGCAGCGTTTTCCAACCTGGCATTTGTCGATGAGCTAGACTACAACTTCCATCATCCCTGGCCAGCTTGTCCATTGTGGCTGCATGTGGTGGGAATTCTAGTGCAACACATCTCAAGGGTTGGGGTTGACTGACCTAATTGTTCATTAACTTTTATATGAATAAATATGATGATGATGATGGAGGCAGAGGAGCAGAACAGAGTCCTTGTGTTTAGATGAAATGCCACACGTCACAGCAGGCACCATTTTAATAGATAAATTCCTTTCTGGCAGCAAGCTGTATGTGTGCCTCTTCAAATCTGGCACCTGCTGGTTTTGCTAAGTGTTTACATTAATTCACATCAGGTTGTAACTACTTTCATTTTTTACTTATTGTCCAAGTAACTTTACTTGACCAAAATGTTCATAATGGATAAACTAACTATTGCAATCCTCACAGAGAAAATAAAATGGCCTATGTAGTTACACTGGGAAGTCCTACTGCAGTAGATGTCATGTACGGTTCTTCCATTATAGCTTCCCTCCTCATTGCAAATATTCTGGATATTCTGATCCTGTGGAAAAGATTCATATGATCAACCAAATGGACATGAGCATCCAGTTCTGGCTGGCATCATAGTGAGAGCAGGGGGTTAAAGCCTCCTTCCCCAGGCCGTGCTCCCTGCTGGCTCACTACTAACCCCTGCCAGCTCTTCATTGTCTCTAAAGAAGAGGTGAACTAGCTTACTGACACTGCACCTAGCTGGGCCACACGTGTTGCCTTGGAAATTGGTAAGAAATATACAAAGGCAAATTTAATGTGATGTTTAGGCATGCATGGAAAACTTACATGTATGAACCAGACATGAAGCTTTTAAGTCAGATCAGATAAGAATCTTCAATAAAGTCATTGCACGTTATTAGCTGAGAATCAGTGGGTGATGAAATATCTAGCGATGCACAAGATGCATTTGTGAATCAGCCCTCATATTACATTTTTATGGGTTATTCTATCCTGATGTGAAACCAATTATTAGTTTTCTTCTTTTAGGGAGTGGAGTAAAGGGTTTATAATGGAATGAAAGCCAGAGCCCTGAAACTGGTTCTGTAGCAAGAGATGCAACAGGTTTGCTAAAATTGGCCTGTTGCACAGTGCTCCCGTAGATTAAAGCATGAAAGTAAAAATGGTGGGGGTGTGGATTTTTCATTTGCACAAATTGAGGTTTTTCAAGGTGCACATTTGTGCAAATACATACTTTCCAACATGGATGCAACCTCAAGAAATGGAGAAAAAATATTTCTGTCAAAGACTCCTAATACCTGACAATCCACCAAAAAAATACACATCAGATTCAGCAAAATCTATATTTTGCTAGTTACAGCTAGCAAGTTCAGGGCAGATTTTTCTCAAATTACTCATGAAGGCAATTCTCTTTAAACTCCCTTTCTAATATGCAGTTCAAAGGTAAGACCAGGAAAGAATGGTATAAAGACAAGATCCTTGGACTGATACATAGACCAGTCTCACAACTGTCTTCTTATTTAATGTAGAGCCAAAAACTCCAGTCCCAGAGCAAGATCCTCCATAAATACTGCAGACACCTGTCACATAATTTTAGGGAGCAAAAGCCTGTATGATTCCTGAGGCCAAACCATTATAAACATTTCATCAGACGCTCTGAGTAGTCTCTGCCTTCCATGGATGTTTTCATAAGTTGCCAGCTTGTAGCTGACTTAGGTTGGCTATTCTGAAGTGAATTTCTTCTCTGCCCTCACTCCAACACACAAGTCTTGGGTTACTTTGTTTGTTTTCTGTGCAAATAAAACACATTCAGGTCAATAGACATGTGCTTCAATAGGTGGCAGATCAGGTGTAATGTAGTCTTTCCCAACCTGGTGCTCTCCCCCAGCCAGTGGCCAACAATCTATTAAGAATATTTTGCTGGAATAATTTTTGAGGGGTCAGTCAATGACATGGTTGAGATATGCATTGGTATTGTAGTTGTCCTTTGTTCTTTGACATTTATCTGCCAATTAATATAATTTAATATGTTGAATGAGAATGTGGCAACATAATAGGTACTACGGAAATTAAGCTGTTAACTGTTGACAAAAAACTAAATATTTTAAAGCCAAATCTTTGTATGTTTATGCATATATGTATCTTTGCTCTCAAAAATAAGATCATCAATCTACTGAAATAGTGAACATGAACTAAACTAGGTAGTCCCAAAGCGTTAAAGATCACAGTGAAGAGGGAATAACAGAAAGAAAAAGAGAGAGGCAGGGAAGGGGAGGGGAGAGGAGGGGAGGGGAAGAGATCAACAGCTCAATCCTATGCATGCTTCCTGAGAGAAAAAACCTCACTAAGTTCAAGGGGATTTTCTCCCAAAGTTTTTCCAGCTAACTGCAGCCAGATACGTGAGTTGTCATCCTGCAAACAGAGCTGTCAACTCTCAAACAGGATTTGCCTGGAGTCGGAATGATGTGATTGATAATCCAAGCAGTGGCAGCAGGTTTTGTTTCTCAAACTTCTTCCTACCTCATTGTGATAAATTCCACAATAATTAGGCAGCCTGAAACACTACACTTCTCTACTGATCCTAATTTTTAATGGGCATTGAGAATTTAAGGGGCATTGAGCCTTTTAGCATCCTAAGTTTCTACAGCTGCCCAACAAATGCAGTCCAGAAATTCTTTCAGCCTAGTGCTAAAGCTTCAAACGTATATCTCAAATCCTGCAGGGAGCAAAGGTAGGATAATAATTCATCCTCACCATTCACAGGCAGATGCTGGTTTTATTCAGAGGCAGAAGTTATATGTATTATATCATTCCCCAGTTGTTTGTTCTTGTTCTTTCTCCTTCTTACTAACCATTCACTTAGAAGACTGCATAAAAGTCCTTCTCTGCTTTGGATCTTATTGCATTTCCCACCCAAGGAACTTAGGTCATGCAATGTAATAAAAACATCCTATATATTGGAAAAGTCAGTAATTGATCTATACTATGATTGCAGAACATCCCTAGATTCCAGCAACAGGGGATAGGCTCAGTCTTTACTTAATTTCAGCATGTGCAAATGAAGCTTAGATGGGAGTCAAATGAGGTCAAAACCTGAACATCTTAAGCCAGGGAATTATACAATTTTTTCAAAAATTGGTGTCTTCTGTAGACTTACACGATCTCTGTCCATCAACCAGTCAATGCAAAGCATAAAGAGCCCCTATGTGTGTGCAAGAGGTGGATTCGGGGAGCACCATGTGTTTAGGTGCCCTTTCTATACATGCATGTCCTGATGTGTGACTTTAGCAGGTTGCTTCCCTGCACTACCTATTCAGAAACTGTGACATTTTCCCTAGTAACAACCCCCCCCCCCCGCCCCGGCCGAGGGCCGTTTCCACTCTGTCTCAATCCTCCTTTGCTTTGCTTGCATCTCGGCTGCCTCTTGCATTGGCACCAGCATAACAATGACGGCAATCAGGATTTTAGGAGGGAAGGAGGGAGGACGCGCCCTCCCCAACTACCGCTGGATTGGCACAGGTTGTGATGACAGCACTGAAGGATGGGGGTGATGAGTGAGATGCAGGAGCTGATTTGGGAGGACTCCTGGCTATAGGATGTGGCACCTTCAGAGAAAGAACTGCTGCCACCCACTGCTTGGAGCCCCACATGGAGCAATTAATGGGTTTTGCTGCCGAGTGGGATGCTGATGCAACTGAGGACTCCAGGCTTAAACCAGAGCGCCATGCCACAGGTATCTCCTCATTTCTTCTCCCCACGGCCTGCCATTCTCCAACACTAGTGCCACATGCAAAACGTAATCTGGGAACATATAAGGGATGGTATTTCTTCAGCCCTATGATCGCCTTTACCTTCTCCTTCTTTGTGCCTGCAAAGGATCGCCGTGCTTGGGAAAGCCACTAAGTCTCCCTTTCCTTTTCTCAAAACTCTGCTTGTTTTTGCCTCAGGACTGCAGAGCAGCAGGGGTAAAGCCACACTAGAGGGTGGTTTTGGAGCAAGCAATGTTGCTCCTAGCTCCAAATGCACCCTGGGTTTTCTCTTAGCCCAGCCTTCTCCAAGACAGTGCCCTCCAGATGTTCTGAACTACTACTCCCAGCACGTTGTGTGCTGACCGAAGACGATGGGCATTGTAGTCCAACAGACCTGGAGGGCACCAGGTTGGGGGAAGGCTGCCTTAGCCAGCACAGAAGCTGAAGTCTGAGACACGAGAGATCCATTGGGCCTGCAGCACAGCAGAACAAGCCAGGCAATGTGGTGCTGCCGGCGTGCAGCAAGCAACATTAGCAGCTTGGGCTCGAGAGTGCCTGAACTGGTGGCTGCTGCCGCATTGGACAGAACTCAGGCAGACAAACCAGCCAGAGTCCACCCGGCAGCTGCCATGACTTGACAGCGCCGTGGTAGCCTCCAGTGCCCCCCGTGCATTCCGCTGTTTTCCCCGCTCTGCTCACCTCGGTTGCCATGTTGTGTGTCAGCGTGGCTGATCCACGCTGCTCGTGCCCCCGGGAGCGAAACCGAAGCAGAGATTCAAGCGGCTGGGAGTTGCAGACTCCCGGTTTCCCGGGGAGCGGAGCTCAGGGGCGCTGTCCCTGGTGCTGCAGGCGGAGGACGCGCCGAAATCCCAGGGCGATGACGCGCGGCGCCGGGGCGTCGTCGGCGAGGGAAAGGCGCGGGGCGCGGAGAGTTTCCCGCTGTCCTTGGTGCTGAAAAACTCGGGTCCCGAGGAGCGGGAGTTGGAGGCAGGCGCCCCACCTAGTGTTGTCCGCGGTGCTGGCGACCCATTTCCCAGTTCGACGCCCGCAGCGGGCACTCGGTTCGTTCCCGCTCGACAGCCTCTACGCACAGGCTCGCTCAGCGACTGGCATCACCGCAAGGGGAGGGGGCGGGCTGCCTTCGTGGGAGCCGCATCCCCCCAGGGCGTCCCCACGCCGGAGCGCCGTGCTCCGGCGCTGATTCGGAGGAGGGACGCTGGGAGGCGGAGCTGTACTGAGCGAGGAAAAGCACAAGTCGGCTACCGCTCATTTCCTGCTTGTCCTCCCGGAGCCAGCATGCGGGAGCGGGGAAACGAGGGAAAGCATGGTCGCATCCCCGCCCGCCCCCGTGCCCGGGAAGAGCTGTGAGACCGTCTAATTCACTACAACGGTGTGCTGGTCCCCGGGAGAGGTAATCCAACACGAGAGCGCCAACTGGGGTACCCTAAGAGTGTAGGTCTGGGAGGTCTAATTCCCATTCTGCCACGGAGCTCACCAAGTGATTTTACTCCAATCACTCAGTCTCAGCCTAACCTACTTCGCAGGGCTGTTGTGAGGACTAACTAGAGAGAAAGAGGATGCCTTGTGTTCTTTGCAGGGGAAAAGATGGAATATGAATATAATAAACAAATAAATCTGGAAGGCACCCTGGATACAGTGGCAGAAAAGTCCAGTACAGAATGGCGTCCTTGCAATGGGGCTTTCCTGTGCACTATCCCCCAGGCTTTCCCTCCAGAACTGCCTCCTAATTATGTGGAGAGATGTAAACATTCAAAAATAGTAGCATTTTGTTGCCTTTAAGTGCTCAGTTGGACTCTATAATAACCATATTTCTTTCTAAACTGTGGAATGATGTTCCCAGGACAGGACTGGAAGTTATAAGCATGATATAAGCAAATATAAATGTGGATGCTTCAATGGCTCTGGGAATAAATGCATGCAATTACATCTCTCTCCAGTTCTGAGTCCAACAACCTTAAATGCAGCAACCTTAGTTAAGTATAATATTCAGCCAAATGTTTGGTTAGTTCAAATTAACCCTCCTGCCTGCTGGGCCTTGTTTCCACTTTATAGGTTTGAACATTCATGTCCTGAGAAGCTTTCTAGCTTTTCAAACTCTGTTTAGAATTTTCCTTTTTAAGGCTACAGGAACTTTCCCAGCTCCTGGAAATAGTAAGGCAATGCTCAGATTGGTCATTTGTCCACAATACCCATTTCTAAAACATTTTTCCCATCCATTAGCTTCTGGCTCTTAGCACACTGTCCCTAGGTCCCATATGAGGGCTACCAATACCTTCTCCTTAGTCTCTCTCTCTTCAACTTTCTTCATGATCTTGATTTTTGTCTTCCTTTTGCTACCATGACCTCCATCTAGATTTTTTGCCTACCCAGGCACCCTTTCACCCAAATCATAGACTCCTCCTGCCAACATTACATAGATTTCCCTGTTCTTAGGTCCTACAGGAGTTCGCCCACTCGCAACAATTTTCCCACTGTTAGTTCCTTTTCTCAGTTCCCTTTTTCCTCTGCTTTGCCTTTCTTTAGGCATTTGTTTTCTTGATCTATTTTTCCCTAGCGTTTCTCAGTCCACTGCCTGCTCATTCACTATTTCCTTGGGCTTCCTGCTGTTTCAGCTGCATACTACACACTAATGTAATATCTCATGTTAATTTCTGCACTAACACAGAACCATGGAGTCCACTGCCAAGGAACCTCAAACTCTGTGCCACCAAAAAAAAACTTATTTCTGCAATCTATGTGAATTATGTAAATATGTATGCCTTAACTTGTATAATTTTGTTTGGTAGACATGGGAGTGCAACCATGTGCTGTGCAGGGCACTAAAGGGCACCTTTCGAAGCCTCGTTGCAACCTTTCTATCGATTCCATAATTTCACCATATAGTTTAAAGCCTCATCTTCAAACTAATAAGGACTATAAACTGGGGGTTTTTCCTAACCCCCAAAAAACATAAAAATTGAGACACGCATAGTGCTGGTCTGACCTTGATATCTAATTCTATATTCTGCTGCAATTGCATAGCATAATAGACTCAATATAGTTCCCCCAGCCTTATGTGAATGTTCTACTCAGCCAAACTAACCTTTCCTTTCCCTCACAAAAATTGGACTGGTTATGAATCTTATATTGTTTTGAGATCTAGCCTGAAAACTCATATTGTTTGAAGATCCTACAGAAGCAACTCATTCATGTTAGTGGAGCTCATACATAGGTAGCAAGAACTGTGTAGCTCTCTGTGTGAGAGCAATCTATGTGCTACTTTACAAAGAAAGAAAATAAAATGCTTAGGACTAAAGATTATGGGCTATTATGTGGCTCCAAGATACTCTAGACTTTCATTCATAATTATACACTTAAGTAATCTCAGCTGCATGCTTCATTCAACCCAATATACATCTGCAGAATCACTACACCCAGTCCTTAAACCAGGAACCTGTTTTTCTGCCCGTCTAAAAAGGCAAAGCTATCCCCTCAGGTCCTCCCCTATTCCCCCGTCCAGCCCTTCCCAGTTAGAACAACCCAGGCCCCTGGCAGGCAAACATAGAATGCAAAAGCATGTGAGACATTTTCTCAAACAGGCTTATATTTCTGACCCATACCAGGAGCAGTATGGATTCCAGACAAGTCTGTTCTCCCAGAAGAGGTTTTCATCTTTCCATCAGCAGAGTGGATGCTTTAGAGCTAATGGCAATCCAGATGTCTGATGGCATGAACAGAGCTGCTGCTTTTACCTGAGCAAATGCCGGGGGTGCATGGCCCAAGATGGTACCTTGATGCTTAAAACCCACAATTATCTGCAGTGCACACTTGCTCTGAGAAAGTTTTAATGTTGCTCACTGATTCCACTCTGTGCAGTGATGTCCAAGCTGCAGCCTACATTTCATTAAGAAACCTTCACATCTGAAGTCCTTTTTCTAAGCCAGAAATCTGGAAAGGAAAGCCAAGCTGCATTTTGGAGATGAATGCAAAAAATGACTTCAACAAGAGATGTGGGGTGGGACTCTGATTCACTATGGCTCAGCTCCAGCTACATGTGAGTGGCCAAACTTCCAGAAGACTGAATAAAGTCTGGACTTCGTAGTTGTCAGATTCTGTGATTTGGAGAGACAGGGGGAGGTAGGATAGCTGAAGACTGATGCAAAGCTGGGGTACTTTGAACCCTGTGGAAGGAGCCATGTCTTAGAAGGAGAGCAAGTTTGGCAACTGTCCCAGCTAAAGAAGGTGCCTTATAATCAGAAAGCAAGAATTAAAGGACATGTAAGGATAAGTCTTGCATGTCAGGACTACGTTCCAGGGAAACAGTGAGAGACAGGATGAACAGGAAGCAGTAGTATTGATTTAGAATTGACAGATATGCCTTAAAATTATTTTAGATCTCTCAGGCTTGGAGCCTCAACTTCATTTCTGCTTCACACAGGCTGAAGTGTACAGGAAGTAACATGTTACATGAGCCAAGGCAGAGACTGGAAGTTAAATGACAAAGACTACATTTAGCATAACTAAAAATGTGTCACTCCCTAACGTATGCTATGTACCATGTGCATTGATGACTGACAGGGGAGCTCACAATTAATGTGCAGTGACACAACAAAAAGCAACACTGGCAAAAATGACGGGCTTATGTGCTGGGGAGTTGTCTTTGTCCCTTAGACCACTCCATTGTCTTGAGTTGGGTTTAAATTGTCTTTCACCCTAGAATATTGAATGGATATGAGAGAAACTAGAGAGACTAGTCCGTGGCTCTTGTCGTTTCCCCACAAAAGTCTGCTGATACCTAAAAACAAGCTTCACTGCAGGACATAAGCTGCCCTGGGGAAGGAAGCGTGTCTTACCAGTTACTCATGGTTCTCAGTGAAGGGAGGAATCTGCCAACATCAGTGCTTTATGGCTAGTAATTATGCCAGCCGCCTAATGGCTCAGGTAAATCCTTCTGGGTCATGACTACTGCTGTTGTTGCCACCAGGCACACTGTGTCTTGCCATGGAAGGGTCTGACTGGCAATAGGTTAAATTTAGAGAAGGAATCGTGCACGGTGGTTTGTTAAAGGTGTAAAAGGCACCGCTATCATTGGAACCGCTGTGAAGGGTTGGCTTCCGTCGCATCGAATGAAAAAGCTCTGTGTGCTTTATATATTGGAAGGATATATACTGCTTGCTATAAACAAGAAGGGAAAGTATATACATTCTGCAGAGGAGGAGGAGTGAGCACATGTCAGCGGTCTGTACAGGGGCTCTATTTTCTGTATTAGTGCTACTAATAAAACAGACTGCAAATTGCAACTGGAACTAAAGTGTTATTTGATTAACCTATCAAGACCATTGTTTAAAGCTTGCAGCTCTGGTTGATACTGATATAGCCACTAGCAGCATCCTGACTTCATTTGCACATGGAACAAGTGCCTGGCTTTTACATCAATTGAAAAAGCCAATGGAGGAACTGCTGACCCAGCTGGTTTTCTGCATGGAATTAAAAATATATACTCCTGGCAATAGCACGCAGCAGGGGAATTGCAAGAGAGTTTGAAGGGCTAGAGGTGCATGCAGCTAGACTGGAAGGAGGTTTCTCATGGGTAATGTTACGGTGGGGATGAAAAAGCTGCCCTCCAACTCCCACCTTTCAAGACCACTGGCTATGCTGGATGGAAGTTGGAGTACAGCAACATCTGTAGGGCCACAGATTCCTTACCACTG